CATTGGAAGTTGCTGCATTGTCCAGCTCGAAGTCAACTGAAACAGGTATTTCATGAACTTCTATCTCTCTATTTAGGAATAGTTAGACTTAGGTTTGTGAATTAAAAATGTTGTATTCATAGCCCTGAAGCCATACATGTGCTTAGTTTTCATTTATATTAATCGTGCTAGGAGAATTTCATCCATGAACTTTCTGAAAAAACTAGGTTAGAAATTAGGGCCAGAGAAATTCTCTCTGGTCTTTGAGAGTTAGCTTAAGTTTTTTATATGGTTAGATTCGTTGTTTGATGCTCTACAAGTTTCATGTTTTGAGTTTTGTCAAAAAAGCATTGAATCAGGAGATACAAGTTTGAACCAAGCTAGGCGTGCGTTTTTGTTGACAGAGGAAGAAGATGAAGTAGCTGGGCTGGGTCTGGCTACTTCCTGCTTTTCACAGCCCATTTTTCAGTTTCACACTCCCCTGGCCCATTTCTTGTATTTTTATTATTTTTGCATTTTTATTTTATTTCTGACTTTGATATTTTATTTTATTACATAAAAAATACTTAAAAAAATATTTTTATAAATTTTTATATTTATTTGGTATTTATTTCAATTATTTCAAACATTAAAATGTTTAAATACTTTATATTATTTTGTTGAAACTTAAAAATAATGTAAAAAATACTTTTATTTTCATTTATTATTTTTATTCACATTTGAAAATATTTTCTTCAAATATATACATTTTTTGTAAATAATTTATTTTATTTTTCACACACTTAATATATTTAATATATATATATATATATATATATATATATATATATATATATATATATATATATATATATATATATATATATATATATATATATATATATATATATATATATATATATATATATATATATATATATATATATATATATATATATATATATATATATATATATATATATATATATATATATATATATATATATATACACACACACACACATATATACTATATTTTATTAAATAATTAGAACAAAAAACACAAAAATAATACATTTTTATTTTTATTATTATTTTATACTAAAAACATTTTTTTATGATATATTCTTACTTTGGTATATATTAATATATTTTGTATTATAAATAATTCAATTTTTGTTTTCTTTAAAGAGAATTAGGGCAAACCCTAAAAATAATTAAAATTAATTTTTTATTTACATTTCTTTCCTTTGAAAATATTTTACATACATAAAAAACCTTTTTGCATAATACATTTTATCTCATATTTATTTATTGTATAATGTACATTTAAATATTATGCCTTGCAAATTCAATTTGGTTGTAATAATTTAGGGTTTAATTTTTTGTCATATAATCCCCAATTCAAATTTGTACCTCCCTATATCATTTTGTAATAGTGTAGAATTTAAATTCTCGCACCTTTAAATGCTTTCAATTATGCCATGATTAGACTTAGGGTTTGTATGCAAAAATCAAAACCAACAAATAGCTTGACTTAATCAAAGAAAAAAATGCATGAAAAACAAACACAATGCACACTTGCACCCCTAGGGTTACAATCCACTTGTTGCCTTCAAAAATGGGCCATGGTTGCATGTCAAGTACTTTGGCAAAACAAAAAGATCATAGTCCCTCGATGGCGCTATCTGAGTTGCCTAAACAAAATGATCAAGTCCCTCAAGAAAATTGCCAAAAATACTTGACATTATTGCTATCATGGTCTATACGATGACCCGCGCATGTCCCGTTTAACATCCTAACACAAGGTTGTTCACCAAATACAATGGTGAAGCAACACTGTTAAAAGGGTTAAAAATGTAAGAAAGATCTTTGAGTAAAATAGGGTAGACAACTCTTAGTTACTTGATCAAAGCTTGCAAAAACATCCTTGTTATCTTCAAAACACACTTCACAACAAAATTTCAAAACCCTACTTTCAAACATGAAAAACTTTTCAAAAGACAAAAACACCTTTGTATACAATCAAACAAGAATCATTACAAAGGTTGCCACAACGATGGCCTCTTTTCAAAACATCTTTCCAAATAACATACAAAGTACCATTTCAAACAATTGAAAAGCAAAGCAAGTGATCTAAGCAAGTAACTAATAGCCCATGGATAACCATGGATAGAAAGGGTGCTAATACCTTCCCTTTCTATAACCTACTCCCCGAACCCAAGAAAACATCTCAAAGGTCTTTCCTGTGCTTTTTGACCTTTCCTTAGGATAAAATAAAAAGTCGGTGGCGACTCTTGCTAAACCGAAACATTTGCGAACACAAACGCAAAATCCCAAGTCAGTTCTCCCACTGTATCACAATACCATCTTCAATGATATCCTACAACTCATAATCAAGACCAATGATATATATGTACATATTGCTTTTCCACCATTCAAATAGAGTGGAATCACCACCGAATGTAGGTGGCCTAGCATGATAGTGACTTTTTTCAGGAGCACTATAATCGTATGGTATAACATTACCACTAGTAATATTGCTTACATCAGGAGAACCAACCATATATAATATTTTTCTTTTCAAGATCTTTTTCTATACCACTATTAAGTGTTTAGCACATACCATGCTCTAATGCCAAATAAAGGTGAAAAAAATTCACAAGAAGGGGGGTTGAATTATGTATATTGATTTTTTTTTCACTTCTGAAAAACAGCTTGAGAATCTGAATAAGTTTAGATTCTGATCACTGATTAGCAGTATAATGAATCAAACTCAGAAGTAATAAGAAAAACAACACACATAATTATCATGGTTCCTCCCGTAAACTGAGAGTAGTCCAGTCTCCTTGTCGAACAAGAGGTTTTTTTACTATAAATAATCAGATTACAATCTGCTTAAGCAAACTAGCAAGAGACTTCAACTACTCAATCACACTTGAAAGAGACTTCCGCTCAAGCACACAGGTAAGAGGCTTCCACTACTCAAGCAAACTAGCAATAAACTTTCTATACTCTAAACAAATAGTTTAGGAGAATAGTAACCATTATACTTGATGTAATATCAGAAGTATAGAAGAGATACAACATATACACAAATATTATTTAAACACTTAATATTTTCAAGATATACAAGGATAAGAAATCTCAAGATCTTGTGCAGCAAATAACTTTAGCTCAAGTATGTTCAACGTTGTTCTTGTTAGATGGTTAGTTGTCTTTCTTCAAATATTTAACTCCTTTTATAGAGGAAGAAAAATAGACGTTGGAAGGTGACTTGAACAAGTGAGCAAAGTTGAGAAGCAGTTCCAAGAGAGACGTTGGAAGTTGATATGTTAAGATCTTCATCCACTATGCAATAGCTTTAACCAGAGCGTCTTTCTCATACTAGGTATCTACCAAGATGTTGGGGTAGACTTAAGAAGTCATGTCAGCTTTCCTTGAGCCTTGTACTAAAAAACTCTAGTTGAGTTTTTCAAAAATCTAGCTTTGACACGATGAGTCTACTTTTTGAGACAGAGTACAGACCATAAGTTGAGTATCTTTAACTCATCAGTTCTTCAGAATCTGAGCTAACATCAAAAGCTGAGGTACCAAGTCTGAGTCATCAGATTGTGATCCTTTCGAATCTGAGACTTTTAGCTTCTCTTCAAATGCTCTTATCAGGGTCAAAATCATATTGATTTTTAAGCTTATGATCCTACACACTTGAACGTATGATAGTATACCCATTTGTTCTTTAAATTATTTGTTATCATCAAAAATCAAGGGATGTGAACAATTTTGTTCCAACATAGCTCGTTACTTAGTTTATCTCAAAAATCACACACCCGTAATGAAAAATAACATACTTACAACCACACCTTATCTCAAAATAGATGTGTGATTGTGTTTTTGATTAAGAATTATCGAAAATTAGGGCAAGTCAGGTTAAATTTAAGAGTGACCGTACAAATTCTCCTTAATTAAGTGTTAGAAAACAGCTCTAATGGGTCAACAAACCATTCTTAATACATATAAAAACTTTTCAAAACACAATCTGAAAACCATCTTCAAGATGTTAAAGAGAGAATAATATTTTTACTACATTAATTACCATTATCAAGTATTTGTTTACCACCATAATAATAGTTAGGCCATAGATTTATATAACAAAAATATATCTCTAGCTAGTTAAGTTATTAGTGATAATCAAGGAATATAGTTACTAATTATTTTATCCAGGTTATATATAGGGAACTTGTACTGTTAGTTAGCTGGAATATACATGTAGCTGAAGTGATTTCATATTGTCAGTCACACACTGTCAGTCTCTTTCATCACTTCAATATACCTTCCAGTTTTATCTTTACATTCCCTCTCTCCGGTCTCTATCTAAACTTTCAGTTTACTACATGCATCATATATTTTATATCTCTCAAACAAAAACAATATTATACTAATAAACTTCAACTTGCATGTTCATATTTAAAATATAAAAAAAAAAGAAGAAAAATCCAAGTTTAGTTTATTCTATAGCTATTCCACTTGTTCATCTTTTCTTGCCTCACCCTTCAAAGAAACTCTATCTAAGATGCTTCATTTTCCTTAAACAAGTCATTTTTTATTCTTGTAATGTTGCTTTCATTTTTATGTTTGGATTCTTCTTCACTCTTTGTTTATTTTTGCAATTTTTGGTTGTTATAGACGGCTATATAGTAAACATTAATTTTCACAGAAACCCTAATTAAATATTTATTAAATTATTTTAGTAAATTGTACTTTCCTTTGTCATTTTTCTTTCATTGAACTGCATTTTCTGATGATATCTCAAACAAACAAACAAAAAGAGAATTCATAAACAATTCCATATCATAATGAAGATATAATTAATATTGATATATATAAAGTTTGAAGATTTTTATATTCAATGTTTACTTAGGCAAAGAAAAAGTTCTCTTGCCATTTTTCAACCAACCTAATTTAAAATGACTAAAAAAAAGATGAACATGGAAAAGAAATAACTTCACAAATCATCACAACTTGTGTAAAAATAAAATAAACTACTTAATAGCTTTTTGTTGTTTCCCTAGCCTAAGTTCAAGATCTAAATCTTCCATTCCATGGTTAACTCCAAGTACAATTTCTGAAGGTTGTTGAAAAGTCAAGAACCTTTGATGATGATCATTTGAACATGGTTTGATGAAAACAGAAGGCAAAGAAGAAGTGTTGTTATTAGTCTTCAATCTTTTACACATGATACCTTTTTCCTCACATGGAAGAACAACAGTTGATGATTTTTGTCCAAACATTCCCAAAGACAAACTTGTTTCAACACAATCCTTAAAACTGTCTTCTCTTGTAATATTAGACCCTATCTTCTTCTGTCCCCATATAATTGAAGAAGAATAAGGTGATGATAGAGTTGAGATCATTCTAGGAGGCGAAATGGATCCTCTTTTTGCAGGAAAACAATGATTACCTAGTGATGATGAGTTGATGAAATCATTGTTGTTTTGAGGGCTAAGATTTTGTTTGAGTCTAGCTCTATCTCTCCTATGAATATTCATGTGACCACCAAGAGCTTGTGCAGACCTAAACTCTCTTTTGCAAAAGTTACATGAATAGAATCTTGGTGGCCATATGCTTCCATTCAGTATACTCCTAGCTGCATCTTCTGCAAATGCTTTTTCTTCCCATGATTCCGTTTGTGCTTGAATTTGCCTTCTCTTCATCCAAAACCAGTACTCATCAGAGTGAAATCCCTCCATGCAAAGAAATTTTTAAATCTGCTAAAGATGAAAATAGTTAAGAGAAAATAGGATTGGACTATATATATAATGTGAAGATAAGAAGCAATGTTGAAAAAAAAGCAAGAGAGAGTCAAGTGTATATAAATGATTTAAAGGGTGTCCTTGTCTATGTATTTATAATATAGTTGAGCAACCAGTTATTATTTTCGTATTTGAGCCGTTCTCGCCAAGACTATCTCAAGTTTTTTTAAAATTCAGTGTAGATTAGTCGCAATTTAATTATGGCAAAATAAATAGAAATCCATCCTATATAACTGTGACAAATTTTAAATCTTGTGTGGTAGTCTGTCTTTCACGCTCTCAAAGACGACTGTAGTAATAATAAAGTTATGTGTCTATATATCTTTGGTTTTTGTATAGTGAAAACTAGCTATAATATTTGTTTTTTTTTTTTTGAATAATGCTTGGTGAGATATGAAGGTATAGTGGGGTCCCTATTAAGAAACTGTCTTGTATGAGATTTAAATCACACGGACGAAGAAATAACGGTTACGATAGCAAGAAAAAAGAAATGATGCAAAACTGGATGGATTTTTGAAGGTTCCATCAACATTATATATAGGGTAATAGTGTTGACTTATGTTAATATGACATAACTTTTTTCCGTTGGTAAATGCAGTATATGTACTGTGTGCATGTGCATGAAGTGTATAGCTCATTTAATAATTCTGTACCATTACAGCAACTAATCTGTTATACATAAAGTCCTATTTAATTTTATTTCTACTTACAACATATTGTAGCAGGTTGTGTTTTCAAAATGAATATGTGATGATGATCACAAGTGAGAATTAGTAACTCAATTGCTTAATCTTTTTATATCTATAATATAAGAAAGATTAATGATTTTTGCCCCTTCATTAAAATTCTGACAAATGTTGTTTATGGGGGTATTTGAAGTCCAAATTCCCAGACATATATGTATTCTGATTCTACAATCATAGGAGCTGTGCAATAAATGGGTTAACTGGAAGAATTTTAATAGGTGTGGAGACAAATTCGCTAATTATGGTCATATTCATGTACTCTTGGACATTTATTGATGGGATTTGATTCCTTCTTTAATTAACCAAGAGTTTTATAGAGATAGGTATTCGGGTCTACCTAATTATTAATTTGCTTGAGCTTTCAGTCGAGGCTAGAGGGTCGGACTTACATGCGGAATGGTCACAACTTGGTTGCATTCTCTTCTTTTCTCTAGGCTCTTGTCTAGCACCTCAGATGTATATATTATTGTTTATTTATACGTTTAATACACTTTCTCTTCTTGTATCTTGTATTTAGGGTTCATTTTGATCCTTTAATATAACAAAAAAACCATTTAAATTCCTTAACTATACAAAATGAATCATATTAGTCATTTTTGAAATTTTGCACACACAATAAAGTTGTTAAGACTGATGTCTCAAAATACAAGTACAATGTCACGACAGATGTTACAACATCTACAGACTGACAAAACTTTTACCAAAATAAAAGGCTATACAAAATTTAAATGCAGAATGTAAAAGAAGACAAGAAATTGTTAATTCAATTCAGTGCAACTCATCTACTTTGGGGACTAGCAAGCCAGGAAGGAAATCCATTATCAACAGTATTAATTCTAAGCCTAAATAGTCTTAGTTTATAACTTATCACTTAATCCCTACTCATTGCAACTTCTACCTAGGCACCTCCTAGATATGAGAATCTCTCTCACTCATAATCACCGCAGTGATATCAAACAATCCCAGTTCCAGAGAATGTCCCAAGAAACCAAAAAAAGGAAGAACACACTTCCAAATTAAAATACTTGGTTTACTTAAAAGCTTCACTAAGAACAATACTTATCTCTTGCTTAAAAGCTTCAAGGAGAACAATAACTTGATAAACAAGTAACAATCAATCAACTCAAATGCATCAAAAGATAATTTAGGACGTACAAAAAATATACGGAGAATCTAAGGAACTATCAAACCCTAAACCTTTATTTTTCACAAGGTTTTACAATAAAAACTATGCTTAAAAAACTAGGTCTTGGACGACTCCTTATATAGAGTTCTGCAGTTGAGCTTGGACTCTTCATTCAAATATAATCTTCAGCTCTAAATCCCTGCAGAATCTTTTCCACAAAAACAGAAACAAAAAACAAATCTTTCAAATATTTCCTAAAAAGATTCAAAGATCTTTTTAATGAAACAAATCAAATCTGCAATTGTTTCTAAAAATCCTTGATTGGTTGCGCCTATTACTTATGAGTACTAGAAACCTCCATAATCTCATATTATTCAATCAAATCTTCAAGGATATTATCCAACTGTACTGTCATGATGTTTTGTTGTAACATATTACAACATCTGATCGAACATCTGTTAAATAAATTCCAGCAAACTCTGTTGTACCAGTTGGTCAAGATGTTATGATATCTTGCTCAATATTGGGTTGCAATACATGTTTCTCCCAATTAAACATGTTTTGATAGAATTTTTGTCAACTCCTTATTTTACCAAAATTATTGTAAACCATAAAATCACAGACCTAACAATTTTCGTCCATTTTATTAGTCAAAGTCAATCATTAAGACAATGTGATACTAACATGAAATACCAAATGGCTTAGATCAATTATGTGATTGATTTAGTATCGGAAAAATTTGTCACTAAATTTTTTTTTAGGTATTAATTATTATTTTCTTCCCCAAACCCAAAAAAATCCAAAGCGTAAAAATACAACTTCATATTTCTTGTATATATTTATTCCATTGTTTTAAATATATTATTCTTCATATTTGTGATAAGAATCCTTTCTATTGTATAAGATCATGTTTCTCCAACCTCACATATCAAAATCTATGAATCAAGATATGGAAATTCCCCAATCTCAAAACCTATATAATAGATTCACTTTCACATTTTACCACACTTAAATTCATAAATGTTTTCTACAATCACTATTATTGCTTTATCCAATCTCTGTTGAGAAAGTAATTTCTTGTGTCAAAGTATGCTGTTCGATAGAAGCAAGGAGTTGTCGAAATGATTAGTGTGTCGAAGTTGTTTAGCTGTCGAAATGTCGAAGGAGTTAGCCTCGACAGAAATTTTGACTTAGCTTTATTTTTATAATTTTAGTTGAGTTAGGATAGTTGGAGTTTTGTTAGTGATAAAATAAAATCACCCTATAAATAGGGAGTAACACCTATTGTTGTAAAGTTATAATGCAATTGCATAATTGAATAAACTTCCAGTTTGAGAGTAGAGAGAAACTCTGAAGAAATATTCATCTTCTTCCCCTTTTCTCTCAAACCCTAATTTCTCTTTTCCTCTCCAATTCACCTTTTTTTTTCTTTCATTATCCTTGTGCATCGGAACCATCTTACAACCAAGGTAAGGTTGATTCACTATAGTGAAGAGTGAAGAACAAGAGGCGAAATTGATTGGTGTATTTGATTCTTGTTCATCAAGATTGATTCGGAATTCTACAAGATTTGGGTGTAATTCCAACATATGGTATCTAGAGCACTAGCTGTGGGGTAATTCTTAGGAAAGCATAGCACGATGAATCATCCAAACGAGCATTTTCCAGCAAGTCTCCCGATTCTGAAAATTGACAACTATGAGAATTGATGTAAGCAGATGAAGATTGTTTTCTGTTATTAAGATCTTTAGGATCTTGTGAAGGAAGGAGTAACGCCACTTGCAAAAGAAGAAAACGATGAACAAGAAGCTGCACATAAATAATTGAAGAAGAAGAATTATAAAGCTCTTTTTATAATTCATCAATGTGTTAGTCTAGATAATTTTGAAAAGATTGAGTGTTGTTGAATCAGCGAAAGAAGCATGGGAAATTTTAGAGAAATTATTTAGAGGCACTGAGAAGGTGAAAAAGATGAGGTTACAAACTCACAAAAGAGCGTATGAATTGCTTCATATGGAAGAAAATGAAAGTATAAATGAGTTCTTAATTATGTTTACAAAACTGATGAATCAAATCAAGGTATGTGAAGAAGCATTGACATCAAGATCAATTGTTGCAAATAGATCTTGAGGTCATTGGCTCCGAAATTCAATCATGTGGTAGTAGCCATAGAAGAATAGAAATATTAGTCAACATTGACAAAGGAAGATCTTCAAGGGATGCTTAAATTTCATGAACAAGGAATGGTTGAATGATTTGCAGGCAAGTTGAAGAGTAATAAGGCTCTGCATGCACAATCAGTGAAAGAAAAGAAAGGCAAAGGAGAATGGTTTGACAATAAAGGTAGATGAGGATACAACAATTCGATTGGTAGAGGAAACCAACAAGGAGGAAATTCGTCGAATCAAATAAGACCCCCATATTAATGCAACCATAAAGGCGGTGTTATAGGTAGAGGAAGAGGTGTTGGTCGAAAACCTGACAAAAGTCACATTAGTGTTTCAATTATCAGAGGTATGGTCATTACTCTAGTGATTGTTCTGAAAAACAAAAAAAAAATCAAGAAAATGATGCAAAGTTTGCAAAACATGAATAAGAAGAAGAGATGTTATTGACGGTCATAACAAAAGATAAAGAAATATTCAAGGACCAATGGTACTTGGATTTAGGATGTTCATCACACATGACTAGTAGGAAAGATTAGTTTGTCAACATAAAACCCTCGATGAAGAACATGGTGAAATTTGCAAATGACAATACTCTTGCAACTGAAGGTATTGGTGGTGTTCTGATTATGAGGAAAGATGAAAAAAGATCAGTAATTTCCAATGTATTATATATACTAGGCATGAAAAGCAATTTGCTTAGTATATGGCAGTTGGTTGAAAATACCTACAAAGTGTCGATTGAAGATAAGATGATGAGAGTTCTTGACTCAGGTGGAAGGTTAATCTTGAAGGCTCATATGTCTCAACATAGAACCTTCAAGATTGAACTTAATGTGATGGAGCACAAGTACCTTACAACTTCAGCTAGTAGGAATGAATGTATATGACACTATAGAC